AGAGTCAGAGTTTCTTTATTGTCATTCGCACCTCATGTGGTACATGTGGTGGAGCGAAATTATGTACACAGGGTCCCAGTTACATCCAACAATAAAATGTCTAAGAAAAACAGTAATAACATCTAAGATATGAACTAAGAAAAACATCAACTAAATATACACTAAGCACTCATAACATAAAACATTGAACATCAGCACAAACATGAACATGAGTCTGTGAGCAGATGTGCACGCATGAACACATCAACATTTAAACAGATCAGCAGCAACATGATATGGTTTTTCACAGTGATTATTCTAGTTAGAGATTCATGAGTCTAACATATCATCGAGGTATACAAAAACGAAGTCCCCTAAAAAGTCCCTAAGTACGTCATTCACTAGCGCCTGGAAGACGGCAGGGGCGTTAGTGAGACCAAACAGCATAACAAGATATTCGAAGTGACCTAATGGGGTTCGGAAGGCCGTCTTCCATTCGTCGCCTTCCTTTATGCGTACCAAGTGGTAGGCATTACGTAAGTCTAATTTTGTGAAGATAGTGGCTGACTGTAACCGCTCGTGTATGGAATCTATGAGAGGAAGAGGATACTTGTTCTTGACTGTAATATTATTTAACCCCCGGTAATCGATGCAAGGGCGGAGCGTCTTGTCTTTCTTGGAGACAAAGAAAAAAACGTCCCCTACCAGGGAGGTGGACGGACGAATGATTCCTGAATCAAGAGATTCTTCAATGTACTCTTTCATGGAATCCCTCTCTGGTCCCGAGAGGTTGTACAGGCGGCTGGCCGGTAAGGGAGCACCCGGAAAAAGGTCTATGGCACAGTCGTAAGGTCGGTGCGGCGGCAGAGACAAAGCTTTCTGCTTACTAAAAACAGGAGAGAGATTGTGATACTCGGACGGAATGGAAGTTAGATCGATCTGTTCTACGTTGGCGTCTTGTTTAATGGGGCTAGGGTTTCGCCTGTGACCCCCGCTATGGAAATGGTAGGTATCTTTAAAGTGGGTAGGGACAATTCAGAAACAATACTTTGACTGATTAAATTTTGTTCTGCGCCAGAGTCTATGAGTGCAGAAACAGGGAAACGGTTGTGATTATTTTGAATGACCGTAGCAATGGTCAATCTACTTAATGGGGAGAGCAAAGAAGTCCCCACCAATATCTCCCTCTTTATTGGTGGGTGTTTTTGTTTCCCCAAAACGGGCAGGTGGCAATACGATGCCTGTCTTGGCCGCAATAGAAGCATAACCCTTGTTCCCTGCGTCTTTGTTTAACGTTGGGAGTTAGGCGGGTGTGTCCTACCTGCATAGGTTCAGATTCAGGTAGAGCGAGTGGAGGAGGAGACGCGAAGGCTTGATGACTCTGGGGTTTGTAGTACTCAGACGGATCTTTACTACGGACAACATTGAGTGACGGACCCAAACCGCAAGTGGTGGTCCTTTGGGAGTTGTAGTCTCGTTCGCGCCGCTGCTCGCGGAAACGTTCGTTGATTGCTATGGCTAAATTAATGAGAGCGTTGGAGTTGGACGGCTCGTCTCTTGCGGCAATCTGATCCTTTAACAGATCCGACAAGGAGTTTAAGAAAGTCCCCTGTAGCGCCCTCTCGTTCCACCCTGTTTGTGCCGCGAGGATGCGGAACTCGAGGGCGTGTTCGGCTACTGGTCGCCGGCCCTGACGTAAGCCCAGGAGACGTTTCTCAGCGTTGGGACCCGATAATGGCCTGTCGAATATTCTACGAAATTCAGTGAGTAACGAGCTGAAAGTGACAATTTTCAAATCATGTTGGCGGAGGAAAGAAGTTGCCCACCGGAGTGCATTACCCTTTAACTGACTCGTAAAATAAGTGATTTTAGCATTGTCTGTGGCGTAAAGTCTAGGGGCCCCGCTAAACGCGAGCTGGCATTGGACGAGGAAACCGTCACATTGATCCGGGTCACCGGAAAAAAGTTCGGAAGGTTTTACCAATACTTGTTGCTCCGACGGGTGCCTCGCCGAGCATGTGCATGTCGGGCTGTTCACAGAAGGTTCTGCTGCGGCTGTAGGAGGAGAAGAGGAGAGAGTCTGTTTAATGGAGAAAACCATACCCCCAAGCTCCTGTAGGTTAGCTTGTGTCTGTTGTTGTTGTTTTATCATTTGGGTGAGGATCTTCTCCAGCTGGTTTACCCGTTCCGTTTGTGAGGAGGACGTGGCTTGGTCGTCCCGAGCCTCGTTCTGGGTTTGGTCTGGCTGGAGCATTTCTGTTAGGATTTCGGGCAACCCAGTTGTAACGAGACCCAGAACGACTCAAGACTCAGGCTACAAAAAGTGTTATTTATTTACAGTGTTGATATATATATATACAATATATACAGGCCCTGGGACCGGAACTCCTGGGAATAGTCTTTTAGGCAGGAGCAGGTAAGTGACACAGGTGAGTAGATATTGATAATGTTGTTCTTGTCTTACAGCTTCCTGGGCACTGGAGTGAGTTCAACGGGTCCAAGAGGCATGAGTCCCAGAGACAGAACACGGACATCCAAGATCCAAAAGGCAAGGGCACGAGAGACCAGGCAGGAACTGAGAGACCAGGACTGGAAAGGGCACGGCAAAACGAGGAACTGCTGACACAAAACTCACAAGGTAAGTATCTCAAATACTTAGGAAACAAATGGCTGAGAGC